AAAAAAAAAAAAAAAAAAAAAAAAAAAAAAAAAAACATCGTATTTTGCAATAAAAAAATGTTTGAAATTGAGGTATTTTATTAAAAAAATTAATTTTATATCCATTCCCTCTCTCCTAAATATTTATCATAGTATAATAATTAAAATTTATTATGAACAAATACTCTTTAATATAACTTCTGTTATAATTAAAAATTATAATATATAAATATCTTTGAATATACAAATATTGTATTTTAGGATTTTGAATTGTAATATATTTTATTTTTAATTATTAATAACTTTTTAAAAAATAATTTAACTTGAACTTGCAAACATAAATAAAAATAGAAAATGAATAAAAGATTATTAAAAGATTATACAAGGATAAATATATATATATATATATATATTGACTAACACTAGTTTATAAGAAATATTTAACATTAGTTTAAAAGAACATTTTACATCGATTAAAATAGACATTATATATATGTTCGACTAACACTAGTTGTGTTGGATCTAAATCTAGTCATCTTAGATCTTAAGAGAGGACTTACATGAAACGTGCTAGAAGATGAGAGTGGGAGAACAAGAGAAATGAAGTGGTAGCACGACATCATTTAAGACCAAAGGACTTGAGTTTGTTTGTGCCAAAAAAAAAAAAAAAAAAAAAAAAAAAAAAAAAAAAACACTAGAAGAGTAGGCAACAAATATTCATTTTTACATCAGTTCTAATTAGAACCGATATTAAAAGAAAAATTCTTAGAATCAAGTGACGAGCGATATAAAATGGTTATAATTATTCACAAAAATATCATCGTGTCACATAATGTATATTGTGAAATTCTGATTTTGCACTAATGTATATATGACATCCAAAAGAAAAAAAGAGAGAAACTATTGAGAGTGTGAGGTAATTTTATATCACTAATTCAAATTCTATGCACTTGAACACGAGAAAGAACAACTGAACAAGACAACACAAAATGGGAGAAAAGGAAATTACGTACCGTGAAAACAAAGTTGTAGCCACGTTTGAGAACTTCCAAGACGAATTGAATCTTTGTCCACGTCATTTTGATGTAATTTTGAGACATGTAGATTGTTTCACCTTCCAAACCAACATCATTTGTTTCTAATTTGAAGCAATTTAACTTCAGAAACTGACACCGATCATAGGCTGTTTGATCAACCGCCACTATGAGAAGGTGATCAATGAGAGGCCTTGTTCCCTCTCCAAGCCAAAAATTACCAAGAAATATGTCAAACATAGTTGTATCACTCTCTACATCTTGTTCTACATATGCCTTATTTACTACAGCAATTATCACTGTTTTGTTTTTCATTGAGGCTTTGGCCAAAGCAGCGTCAAGGGCATCTCCATATGCTTCGATATTGGTAGTGGTCTACAACATGCATGCAAAAATATTAAAATGATGAAAAATTATAGCCAAAAGAAAATAACATACTCCAAATACGACAATCATATTACTCTTTTATTGAAATTGAATTTCAGCCACATTATAAAGAATATATACCCATGATTTTTTTTATGGAAAAAGAAGAAGAAAAAAAAAAGAATATAATTAAGTGATATGAACTTACAAAATTTGATTGCTTGCAGAATGATTCCTTTTGGAATAGGACTAGTTGGTTGGAGAAAGAGAAGGACCAATGGTACAGCAAGATAACCCCAGTGAAGAGTAATGTTGCCATTGCAAAGGTCACAAGTTTTAGTTTAGGGTTGTCCATGATTCTCTCTATATCTCTATGCCTTTTTGAGGACACAACCAAAATTGAGAGTCCTATATGTATTGGTGCTTTCTGGAAATGAGATTAAAGATATATCGCTATGAAGAACGTAGAGTGATCATATTTTAGCCAAATGGAAAGAAGTATTATTTTATGTTTTTTCCCTTCAACGTTGATTATTTGAGAATGGTCATAGAGACTCAAATGAACATAATTTTTTTTATAAAAATCTATATATCATGTGCATGCATTGGGGTTCATCACAATTTAAAAACATGACTTCGATGTTGATAATGATTATCTTATTTTATAAAATAAAAAAAAAAGAGAATGATTAAAAAGTTTGAGAAAAAAATTACAAACATATTACGAATACAACAGCGACGTCACAGCTACACGTGGAAACTGGCTTGCAATAAATCATATGCAAGCAAAACTAATTTTAAACTTTTTTTTTTATCTTAATTCCTCTTATATATTAAATATAAATAACTATTTTACACAATAGTATTTAAAAAAAATTAATTGTAGAAAAATTTTAACTTTTTATCTAATTCAATTTTTATTTATCAAAATTATTTATGAATTAATCACTAAATGAAGTGATGTTTGATTAGATAATTTTAACATGCCATTAACACCATGACTATAATTATAAGAATGACATCTTTTATCTATTAATTTTTTCGTGTACCAAAAAATAAATAAATAAATAAAAATAAAAATAAAAAAAAGCTTAACTGGGATTCGTAATTTCGAGTTTCAACAATATGCTTGTAACTTCCTTGATTGGATTCAGATTTTCTGTTGGGATATCTGATTTAATTGAGTGGTAAAGGGATATGAATCAATTGGGAGAATATGCATTGACGTTAAATAATGAAGTTAAATCTACCAAAATGAAAAGATAAGGATAATATTGGTACTTTAAAATTTACAAAATATTTAATATTTCTATATAATTATTAGAGTGAATGTCTGCTTGACAATTTTTTTAAAAACTAGGTACAATGGAGCTGGGTTGTAGATTTGACCTTATTTTATACTTTAAAAAAAAATGCATGAGAAATTATGTAATCAACAAAGCATTGAAAATAAAAATAAAGTATAAATAGTTTGACGTTCAATTTGTAGTTGTTGATGAAAGTAAAAAAATAATATTTTTTTTCAAACTAAAGAGATCTTTTCTATTGTCCTTTTCATTTTCTTTTTAAAATCACTTAATCTTGGACTAAACTATCTAATTCAACAATGCACGTAATTGAAATATTATACAACCTTTGTAAAGTTTTCCACCATGATTGAACATGCCAAACCTATAAAAAAAATGGATTTGATTAAATTGCATGAACTCGTCAAACCTCACTATAAGAAAATTGTGTGCCTTGGGGTTAGAGATGAAGTTCATATTACGTTTCATATTACAGTTATTTTGTAGCATGTGACAGGGTAACGTATAGTGTACAACATGCATTGAGTGTAAGAAATTTAGAAAGGTACAAAGGTGTAGTTTTATTTTAAGGGTTAATCAGAAATGACCTGAAAATAAGATGGGTACATGTGCTTTAAACTTATAAAATGGTCCATCAATGACGTGAAATATGAAAACGCCACTAGGGTGTTCTATGTATACATTGCTTAATTTTGAGGATCTAATTATTATTAGCTTTAGTTTTTATTCATAGTTGACCTTTAAATTTTTATTTATCACACAATTCAATTATGTGCAAAATGGCAAGGTATTAAAAACTTCTTGACTTCTTGTTATATTCAGAAAAGATAATTGTACTTTTCCTATAAATAAATATAATAAAAAAATACTGAACCGTAATTAGGGTGATGGAGCATCCATAAGTCGAAAATAACAAAGAGAAAAAAATAAAAATAAATAACAATGATAGTTGAGGCTTAGTGAAGTTTGTGAATTCTTTTAATTAAAAAATTTTTAATTTGTGATATTATTGTATAACATTAAAGATTTTATTACAGTTATTTTATAAAAAAAAATACTTCGATTAATAATTAAATATTAGTATAAAATTTCATATAATTATTTTTTTAGTTAATAAAAAAAATTGGCACCATAGTGAGTAAAAATCTTAATCTATAAATACTTAATTATTAAACTGCTACAGCTGTAAAGAGCAAGTCAAAAGCTTAGCACTTAAGATTGTAATTTTGATTAATAAATAACTTGTAGCATTTTTAGGAATCGGTTTTAAAGGAAATGGAAAGAGGACACAAATTTGTATTATTTTTGTAAAAACAAATAAAAACATTTAATTTTTGTATAAATACTAAATTGTAAATAAATTTTTAATTATTCAAGGACTAACAATATTTTACGATTGGATTTGGATGTTTGGTTATTTTTTCATAATTTTTATGGCTTTCAAAATAACTTTTAAATTGACAATATATAATATAACAACTAATTTTAAAATAAATAAAAAAATCCATGCATGATATTATAACCCTCCTTTAAAAAAATACATTAGATATCATTCATAATTAATTAATCGTACACAAAATAACAAATTCATAATCTCACATAATTAAAAATCATTAACATATAACATGACATCACGTATTATGATTGTTAAAATTAAGTCGTAATGTAATTTTGAACAGTAAAATTTTGCATTTGAATATAAAAAGATAAAACAATACAAAATGTAAAATGTGTTATTTGGTCCAATTTTCACAGTAAATAAATGAAAATTAACTAAACTGCAATAAAAAAAATAAAAAAAAAAATTGTAGTCTTTTTATTTCTTTGAAATCCATTTGGCAGTTTAATATAGTTTCCTTCGATATTGAACACCCCTTTTAAAGTAGAATAAATCAAATATAGAGGATCTGTAATCGATTATATGGTGTTGTTTTCAAAATACAAATAAGTTGTTCCTATTTTAATGGATTACCACAAATTATCAAATTATTGATTTCAAAAACTGTCTGCTTTGGAAAACATATCCTGTTTTAATCGATTACAGTTAGATCGTAATCAATTACAAGACAGGAAGGGGTGATGGACGCTTCCAAAATTTCTATAATTTTTTGAAGATAGATTTAGAGACTGATTATTTTTGTTAGTTTAAGTGGAGAAAATATGCGCATTTACCCAGAGAGACGTACACAGAAGAGAAATGTAATTTGATAAATTGAGCATTGTTACAGACACTAGGCACACTTTACATCATTACAAATTAGTTATAGCTGAACTCAGATGCATCTTGAGGCTAATAATGTTGTAGTTAGAATGGGATCTAATGGAAATGGCCATTAATAGGAAAGAATCCATCAGTAGACAATGACTCTTCAGCGTTCACAGGACTTCCTGAAGCCACCAAGATAATCAATGGCAGTAAATTAAACTTGAACCAACAGCAACTCATGGACACTTCCTTTGGATATAAGAAGCTCCATGCTCTTCATACCTATCAGAAATGAATTAAAACGATTCAGTGTTGAATTATCCTTAATGAAAGCACAATTTGGCAGTTTTGCTTTTCTTATGATAAAAACGGGAGAAAACAATGAAACATATTTTTAAGGATTAAATGTTTTTAGTCATTGAACTTTAGTTGATTTTTACTTTTAGTCCTTGAACAAATTTTCACTAATTTTCGTCTATGAACTTCTACTGATTTTCACTTTTAGTTCTGAACTTTAATCAAGAATTTTGTGCATAGAGAAAATTTTGAGACTTAAACCAAATAAAATTTGTTCAGGTTTCACTTTTAGTCTCTAAACTTTAATCAAGAATTTTTGTCCACAGAAAAATTTGAGACTTAAACCAAATAAAATTTGTTCAGGGACTAAAAATGAAAACTTGTAAAAGTTCTAGAACTAGAAAAATATATTTAATCCTATTTTTAACATTAATGCACTAGTATGACCGCAAGTTTGGTGAACAGTTGATAATTACTCAGATTTGGAGAACCACATCTGCTGGAAGGAGCCAAGAGATGCCAATATGCTACCCCCTATCCAAACACTGCATATTCATTATGAGTTAGAAGACACGCACTATATACAAATACATGAAACAATTACTCCCACATAAAATGTTAATCTGAGTCTCCCCCTTATTTAGGAGAGAAATGGATGAATATCAATCTAAAAACAGACATAACATAACCGGCCAAATCAAAGTTTCAAGAGTTATCAGTTGATACAGCCGAAAGAAATTAAAACAAAGAGACAGGCTTCTTAGTTCTCTTTTTACTTTAGAAGGACAAAATCATATAACCAGTCTTATTAATTCAACTAATAAGAAATTGACTTGTAAGCAATTTTTAAAATTTAAAAGTGCATATTAATATGAAAATAAAAATAGACAAACAAATAAGTGTTCATATGTATAATTTTCACAAATATATATCCAAATTGGTTAGGAAATCACTTATAGTTGAAATAGTATATATTCAGTGTTAAAGAATAAAAGTTTATAAAATAGGCTGGCTTGTGTATAATATTGAACTCCACCGCCAAATTATAGAAAATAAAGCCTAAAGAAAAGCTGCTAATAAATGAAATAATGTAAACACTGCTTCCCAGATGAATAAAACCATAGCCACTTTATATGCTGATATGTGCAATTTTGAAGGCCTGGAAATAGTCGTATAAAATGTTGAACTCATTATAAACCATATTTGTCAATTGCAGGAAATAACCAGGAAAGAAAAATAAAACTGCAAATGGTAATGGCATCATCAAACCCCAAAACCATAATAAGTGCATTTACATAAGATAAATAACGCACCTAAACCTTCTTTCAGTAGCATTCCCGCTGGCCAATACTTTTACTCTGGCAGCTTGAGGGGATTCCTGCATCAGAAATGAAATTGTAGTCAATTTTTACAACTATAATTAACCTTTCCAGCTTCTTAAAGAACAAGGACAATCACATGCCACCTGATTATTTAATTCAAAAAGATAAAACTTGTTCACTTTTATAATATTATAAACTCAAATTTGATTCCTGTAAGAAATTTTGATAAATGTTTTCAAGTTAATTATTTAACTTTTTTATAAATAAGATTTTCAACTAAAATATGAATTTTATTATTATATTTTCTTAAGTTAGAAGTACCAGCGTGCAGAAGCTTTAGCTAAAGGCTTATAATCCAGTTTGAGCACAATTTTACAGATCATTGTGCCTTACAATCATATAATTTTTCTTTTTTGTTAAGGTAATTCGCTAGAAAACCAACATAAAAGGTCACGCACAATTTCATCCCAAAAACCAAAGAATATATATTACACAGAAGAGCTTTCCAATGCTTTGCAAATGAAAGTTCCAGCAAAGAAACACCCCAAAGGAAACCATAGATTGTTCTAAAAAATTATAACAAGAATCTGAAAATTAAAAGAGCAGCAAAAATTCCACAAGCCTTCTAGAAAAGCCTTAATATATCTAGTCCTAATCTACCAAAAAAAAAAAAAAAAAAAGGCCAAGACACATTTGGCTATTAATCCTAGAATTTATACAGACAGACTTCTAGAGAAGCCAAAAATATCTAGTCCTAATCTACACAGAAAGGCCAAGACACGTTTGGCTATTAATTCTAGAAATTATACAGACAGATGCACTAAGTGTCTAAGTCCCTACTGTAAAGCCTTACACTCCACAGCTATAAAGCACCGATACTTCAATTTACTTCACGTATCCGTATCCGATACGTATCTGACACGATACTCTTGGATACTTCACCGATACTTGTCAATGAAGTATCCTAACTTTTGAAAATATTTTGAAAATTTTATTCAATCTCGATACTCTCAGATACTTCACCGATACTTATTGGTGATACGCATCGATAAAGTATTCAAATTTTTGAAAAATTATGAAATATTCATTACAACTAAATAAGATATATAAACATTTGTAATATAGAAACATAGAAATATTGGTCCTTGATAAACTGTAAATGAAAATTGTCTTCTACATAGATAATTTTAAGAAAGGAATGAAATATTATTTCTATTTGTAAATAATAAAAAATAATTTATGATGAAATGGTTTATAATTATTTTTAGTAATGTACAATAAGTATGTTTTTAAACCATTTCATCATAAATTACTTTTTATTATTTACAATAAGTATGTTTGCAAAATAGCAATTATATATTTAATGTTTATGAATTTTGTCAAAATTACAAGTACACAATTATTATATTGTATGAACATTGATATATATGACGACATGTATCTTACAAGTATCGTATCCTATATATTTTAAAATAATTGTATCGCTGTATCGGATACGTGTCGTATCCGATACGCGTATCGTATCGGTACATCATAGCTCCACAGTCTCCCTCCAAAATTAGACAGTAAAAAATTTGAAGTCAGAGATTGAGAAAACTATGCACAAAAGATAAGAAACAATTCCCCCCACAAGGCTGTAATAATGGCAGTCAACACAGAATAAATTGACCAAGCTACTCTTGGTATTTGGGATGAGGCACCAACTCACTTGAAAGAAAATAAATGTTACCCTTTGAATTCACAAGTTAAGCACCAAGAAAACCAAATAATAGTTCAGGGGACAAAATAGAGAAGAGCTCCTGTGTTAAACTATACCTCTAGCAAGTCTTTCTCAAGGCGTTCCTTTAGTTGTTGCATCGAAGCTGTACCACCAGCAAGCTGCATGTAATAAATGATATCAATTTTAATTTCCCAGGTAATGATATATTTGATAAGAAATGCTTCAAAACCTATCAAGTGAACATCAAGTATACATAATAAAGATGTAGATATGGTTTCAGCAAATATTTGTTGGTTAAACTTCTGCGTAAAAGATCATTCGAGTAAACAAAACAACTCAGAATTCCAATTGAGTAAAAAAATTATTATGTTTCTATGCTGCAATATCTTGAAACTATAATTTTGGGTAGAATTCCACCCCACACCCCCCCCCCCCAAAAAAAAAAGCCCCAATCTCAGAATAGCTCCAAAAATCTTCCCAAAAAAAACAGATGCCCCTGTATCTGTTAATTTGACTAAACAAAACAACTCAGAATTCCAATCAAGATAAAAATATTAATGGATGTAATATGAAACTATAATTTTGGCTACAGTTCCACTCCCCCCCCCCCCCCCCCCCCCCCAACCCGCCCAAAAGAAAAACCCTTAGAATAGATTCAAAAATTATAAACAGAAAAGGATGCCTCCTGTATATGTTTATTTTACACCAAAAATGACCACAGTAAACTAAATTAAGAAAATTAAAAATATAAAAGAAATAAATCAACTTTACCAGTATACTACTAAACAATTCTCTTCGAATGTCTACATCACATTTACTAATGCTTTCAATGACCTGCAAAATGGTAAAAATAATCAGCAACGGCAAGTCAAAACCTGAGAAGATACTTAAAATAAACTCACATTAAATTAGATTACCATTTGGGGCAGGCCACGAACTGAAGGAGCAATTTCTGCAAAGCTCTCCATGCCAGGAATTGACTGTAATTATCGACACTAAATAAGAAGATTAGTACAGAACAAAATAACAAGAATATTGATTCTCAAGTGATTTAAAAGACTGCAGAACAAAATAAGCACAAAAGCAAAATGAAGAACATGGACCAGCAAGATTGTGCACAGAAACAAACACCCAGTCAGAAAATTTTATTGGGGCACAAGGGAAAGAGAGGAAGAAGCTTGGAAGAAGTTAAACTGTTTATTACAGCATATCCAAAATGAAGAATGTCACATAGGGCATTGCTAGGTGTATTGATGATTAGATTGCGAATTAGAAAATAGTGATCTGCTTGTCTTTTTGCAGGACTGAACCCATACAGACACTATGAACTCCTTGAATTCTTCCATTTTTAAAAATTATTATGACTTGAGTGGTAATTTATTTTATGTTTATACTGCAAATTATTAGCTATATACTGACATATTTGACTTTTTATTGCGTGGAAAAAAAATTATGCCATTTCAACTTATTGATCAAGAAACTTACAAGATACAACTAACCATTTAGATTAACAATTTGAAAAATAAGCCATTCAAATGGTTCCAATTCCAATTTGACAATCAGGATCCTTTTTATAAACCAAATAACAGTACATGTAAGCTACATAATCCCTATATTGTTGGAATGCCCAGTGTAGTTAAAGCCTAATAGTACACCATGGGTAAAACAGGGCAAGAGTCCAGTGCTTTTTTATCTTTGTGGTAAACACTTTTTCCAAATACAACAATTGAAGTTATGTAGCATTGCGGTGAAAAATATCAGCCCACCAAATCAAACTACCTTCATTTTTAAATTGTTCTACTGTTTTGGCAGATTTGGTACTTTAAGTGACAAATCAAACTATTGACTTCATTGTTTGCTCCACTGACAAAATGCTGTTTTAATCATTTCTGTTTTATACGCCACCCAAGCATCACTGTTGCATCAGTCAGTCTGATTTATTTCCTTTACTCCTGTTTTCATTTTTAAATTTCGATTCTATGCTACATTTTGCAGTTATATTTGTCTGCTTCGTTTTTATTTCTAGCTGGTGTTGTTTTCTGTTTACTTGCTGAGTGGTCTGTTTTGTGAAAACACTTCAATAACTTTTTTTTCTATCTATTTATGTCCTATATGCTTTTTGTTCAGGTCAAACCCCGCATTTTTTTTAACTTCTAATAGTTTTTTTGCTTATAATTATGATAGCTAAAATTTATATTTTTTAACCAAAAACATTTTGAATGATAAAATTTGTATTGTTTTTCTTCCTTTCACGGTATAAAGGTGGAACACAGAGATAGGGTACAGTAACAATTTTAATATTTTTACTATTAACACCAATCTTAAGTGAGGCACTGAGGCATGTCCTTTGGCACCTCACCTTAAGCATTACAAGTCCTTAGGACATTAAGGGCACCTTTTTCCTTTTAGTTTTACTACCTTGCACGAAGCCTTGGCAATTTTGTAAGAAAATTCAATACTATAAATCCTTTTATATTAAATGAACAAGAAGATAAACTAATTACATCTTTGAAAGCAACCCACACACCTGAACCAGGGACGGATTGAAAAGAATATCTGGAATCTTGAATCTGTCAGCCCCAATTTCAATAGTCCTGCATAATAAAAACAAACACGTCACAAAACAACAACAGCCAATAAATTACAGGTAAACAAGAAGTAACAATAAAACTATGAAGTACATATGGTTGCACATGAAAGGTGTTTTGAAGATGAAACATCATTCATTCCATCATCCTCCCTGTTTCAATGAACAAGAATAACTTCAACTTACTGGCCATCAGGAAGCTCATATGAGGTCATTGGGATGTTTGAATATGCACTCTCTGTCAAATACAGGGTAAAAAACTGGATGAAATGTGTAATGTACAGAAACCACAATTCTATTGGATCTAGGAAGGTAAAAGTATCTTCTAAAGCTATAAAGAACTAACTGAAGACTCATACAACTTTGTCAATAAAACAGATAATTGAAAACACGTCATGTATATGACCTAACCAAAGTGAAAGCACATCATGTCACAAGACGCATGGCACGACATATCAAGTTATCTAAGAGGTATACAGAGAAAAAGGATGACAAAAGAAATCAGAGATCCACCATAAAATCTAGGAACTTTTTCCACATAGCCTTCATAAGAACTAAATAAAACACAAGCACAGGACCAGTAAAATTCAAAACATTAAATAAGATGACAACAGGAGGTAGACAAACCATCATATGGAGTATCTGGAGCACGGCACACAGATTCCTTGATATCACTAGCAATCACTCTCTGTCATGAGAAAACAGTCATCAGATAACTGTAAGGCAACAAGTAATGAGATATTGCATGGTCATTCACATACCTGGGAGTAGAGTTTGTAGCTTTCGGTTGTATTTGGAAAATCAAGATCTACGGTCTGTGGGATTCAGAAAAAATAAAATGATAATGAGAAATAATAATCATTTATGTATGAAATTGCAGTTACAACCAAAATCCTATTGAAAGGTACATGCAAGAAACTAAATTTTGGTGCTACAAATAAACAGAGGAACTAGGCAATTTTGCTCACTATCATTTTCCCCCAAAAAATTCTACAAGTTCTTTTTAATTGTTAAAAAAAGTGATAACATGCCAAAATATATATATATATATATATTAAAGTACAAGATGAATAAGCCACAATTCATCACATTATCAAAAGAACTATCTATGAATACCTTCCTCACAATCGTTAGTTTTGGATTCAGAACTGCCAGTCCACCAGTCACCTTACTCTCCATATTTTGTTGATCATAACCTTTCACTTTAGAAAATTAGAAAAAATAAAATTCTTTTGTTATCAAAATCAATATTTTAAAATTAATGGGCTAATCATAATTATATCAACATACATTTAATACTTTATTTTTTATTTTTAATAAAAATACAAAGTGGCTCAATTCACTAATTAATATATATATATATATAATATATATATATAATATATATATAATATATGTGTATGTGTGCAATTGAAATAAACATAGAGAGAACTACACCTCACTCTATCTTTGTTGTTTTGATCCTTAATTATATACCAGACAGGCTAACACCATTTTCTCTGATATCTTAAGCTTAAAAGTAATTCGCATAAACATGTAGTACATATCCTACTAGTAGATCAAATGAGAGGTAATTTATCCAACTCATTTCACTAGCAGCAGAGTACTGGCACATGCAAATGTTATTGAATTTGATCCATTACTGAACAAGTTTCAAGAAGATTCAATTAAAAGAGAGGAGAAAAATGAAGTATAGAAAGTTTGAAACCATACAGATGTCCCGTAGGCACAGCCAGAACATAGAATACACAAGGGATGGAACCCTATACCGCCCAAGTTCAAATTTTAGAAGGGAAAAAAATCATGATGCCTCACTTTAATGATTTCAAGAAAATGGAATAGAAAAGGCATGCTACTCACAGGTCATTAAAATTAAAACAAATTATACCTGAAACTCTCCCGGGCGTATTTCCTTTCTCCTAAAGGAATACCGTGGTTTTATCTGTGACAAGCCAAAAAGGGGGAAATCTCAGGCAGATAAAATCACAGCAACTTTATTTCAGATTATAACACCTAGTGTTTGTCACCCACCATAATACTCTTGCTTTCCAAGCTTTTCATCAAGCAGTCTGTAAGAAACTCTCCTCCAATTGGAGAGGTTGCCACACCCTTGTGTTGAAAACAGATTAAAAGATATGAGCAGACAGAAAGACTTGTAATATTAGCCAAATCTCAAATTTAAATGCTGAGTACAATGAGATTTAAAATTATTGTTGCATGTGTGCCCACACGCACATACATAGAAAACAGAATGGCAGACCTTATGAATATGCAGAGCACACATGAAGAAACATTAGTTTGTAAATACCTAGGCAAGCATTAGTGCCGCACATATACATGGACACTCTTAAAAAATTTGAATTATTGGTTGTATCTTTGTAAAACATAATGAGTAATGATTGAGTAATAATACAGAGGTGATGGCCTATAAATAATTTCTCTCTGCCTTTGGCTACATAACCAAAAATCATTTATTACTAAAGGACAAAATAGTAATTACATGATCAGAATACTTTACCACCAGTTACCAGGTTATTTTTCAAGATTTATTTCATCCATTTAATAAAATAATCACATCTTTCCAAATTTATCCATAACCTGCTTCAACCATTAAACCTTGTAACCTTTCTACAATCAGAGTGGTGCCCATGCATACAAGAAATTGGATCAATGCAGGTAGCTATGAAAACATTAAAGTAGAATATAAAAAATTGGATAACGAACTAAATATTAAAATTTCAATCAAAATATAGGTCAATTTAGTAACATGACAAGAAGTGAATTCTATTTGATTCATTAATAAGAAATACCTTTTGAAGAACATAACCATCATGTACTGGTGCAACTGTTATTGATCCTCCACCACTGAGAAAAATGGGAAATGAAGAAACATCTCGTCAACAAGGCTTTTGAGTTGTTATCGTGACATTAAAGTAATAAATATAGAGCAAATATCAAACTTTAAAAGTTGTACTATTTACATCTCCCCATTTTAATTTTCTCAATTGAATTATCATGCTTAAAGTTGTTTCAACTTGGTCCACCAAATCCACTGTGTTGGACTCAAATAGTTGGAATTCAATTTCATCTATATCAGCCTCCTCCAATGCCTTTCAGTATGTTGCTTAGTCCATTCCATATTTTGGAATGGAACACTGGCAATGTCTCGTTACCAAACCCAAATGATGACTTTAAAATGGTCAAGCAGGAAAACAAAAATTTTTAGACATGTTAACATGTACATAATAAAGAAACTTTCAGATTGCTATCCTGCAAGTAAAGGTACACAGCTTACTCATTTATTTAACAATGTTTCAGAAAAAGTAAAAGCCTCTTGATAATTGATATTTTATTTCTCATTGTTAAATGTTAAAATTGTAAAACATTCTGTTCAAGAACTGAAACAAAAAATATAATTATATCATGTGTCATTCTCGACTCTTGATTGCAGTTAAATAAAACATCCCTAATCCCACTACTAAAACAAGTCAATTCCTCTCTATGAGGCTCATTCGAGTAAATGACTACTACTTTGAGGACAATATAAGGGGATAGGGACTGAATACGAATATGGACTGTAAATGGTTGTAACAAACTCGACTGAGACTGATTACATGACAATGAGTTTGGAAAAAGGAGAGTTGGTTGGGGGCAAGCATAAAGTATTCAAGGGGGAGGAAGAAAATCTGGGAGTAGGAGGCAAGAACTGAGAAAGGCGGAGAGGTTATTTGTTCTCTAATTCCATATTCCTATTACTCTCCTACTAAACTTGGTTAAAGTAGGACATGTAAGGTTCAATTGAACAAGACAACTATAACTTGGGTCTTCCAAATATAATAACTTGTAAGGTAACCAAGTGATATACAGAAATGAAGAAAATTATCATTGTTCAAATTGATACTACCACAGAATAAGAACAAAACTACCATTCAGTAACCTCTTGACTTCTTACCCATCAACAACTAATGACGTTGCACGCCCTGATGCAAAAGAAGTCAGAACCTGTATGTCAAACAAAAGGAATAAATTTTCAGTAATTATTCATTCCCACTCCATAACATATATTATTTTTAAAGGTAGAGATCAGTGAAGAACTAACAGCGTTCTTTGCCAAAAATAATGCAGGTGCTTTGTACTTCTCAAACATAAGCTCTGCTGTCCTGCAATAATAAAAAAACTGAATCATATATACTGATGCTTTAAACTAACTAGACAATAAATCATAACCAGAATACCTTTCTCTCTGTTGTTGAGTGTTAGAAGAAGGCTCTGCAAGGAGCATAGGATGCTCTTTAGGATCAATCAATAGGCACTCCCTACCAAAAAAAGAAAGCATATCCAATCAATAGGCACTCCCTACCCAAAAAAAAAAAGAAAGAAAAAAGAAAAGCATGCCCAGTGACAAATAAAACAATTCTTAGTACATGAGATTAAAAAATTATAAAAAAATTCAATGGAAAAATCCTCAAAACCATAATAGAAAAAGAAGCATCACAGCACCATCAGCAGCAATAAGAAGCCTTAGTAACACAAACAGATTTTTCCTACTAAATCAGATTATGATCTTAAACAATAATCCCATCCAAACATTCACTTATTCCTCTAGGTAAGGTTAGTTACACGGATCAAATATATTGAGCAATATCAAAAAACAAGTTTTCAGCAAATCCATCTAGTGTAAGGTCTTTTTAATGGTTCCTGTATCCTCTTCACTGCACTATCTTCACCAATTTGATCCAGTTTTCTTGCTGGAGCCTTTGTTGACCTTCTCACATGACCAAACAGCTTTAAATGAGTTTCTTGTTATCTTCACAGCAGTGCTACTCCAACTCTATTCAGTATACTTTGTTCTTGATCTTATCATTCCTTTCTTGGCATATCCACTCATTCTTCTCAACATTTTCATCTCTCGTATACTTTATGGTCAAGCATTTATATCATACAAAGAATCATTGATCTTATAGCTATCAAGTAGAATTTTATTTTAAGCTAAATAGTGACCTTAAGTTATCTATATGTTTAGTTCACTCAGTTTGATTCATATGCATTCATCCCCCTCAATTGCCCTCATTATTTTGCAAAATAGATCAAAAATACCTAAAATGTGCAACTTGCGGTATGTTATGGTCCCCAATTTCACCTCCAAAATATTGTCACTAGACATTTGCCAAATATCCCTAGTTCATGCAATGTTGCTAACCTTTACTTGAAAAGGCAGAGTTTGAGTTATGCCTTGAACAGCCAATGTAAAAGTAAAACTTGTATATATTTATGATATGGACCATCAATGTTTGGAAAAGAATCTTCATTACTTTCAAACATCAATTGGCCACTATTACTAGCTGGGTTTCTCCTGTATTTCTATGCTTTAGATACAAATAACAGGTCAACTATTCTTTGGACCATTGCTTTTGAGAAAAATCATCAAAAGGATTTTTAATCAAAAAGGATTCCTAGGAGCTTTATCAAATGCAAACCATACATGACACCAAATAAACAACTGTGAAAAGGAAAACAAGAATGCTACAATACATATCACACGCTGATAGAAAATAAGTATTAACCTGAAGGCATGATCCCATATGCTGTCAACAATATCCCAGTCAGCAACAATTCCATCCTTAAACGGAGACAGCACCTGACAGCACAGAAGACAAAAATAACTAAACCTATTCATTATTTTCAAATTTAAAAAAAAAAAAAAAAAACTGTAAAGTACTAATCCAAGTCCAATCATGAAAACCATTACAAAAGGGTTACCTCCATATGGTCTCTACGGTACCCCAAGGACTGGGATCCTACATACAATTTCCTCGGTCCCTTGGCCTTGTCAGAATCATCATTTTTAAGATTATTCTTTGATTCCGCAGCAGAGGCGGAATTCTTTTCACCATTATCTGCTTCATCAACATCCATTTGATCAATTGCTCCAACAACCTAAGTTCACACACAACAATTCATTATCAACGATCAAACTACCCATAGATTTTCCCACTATCAAGCAGCAGTAGCACTAGCCTATCATCACCACAGAAAAATGCCAGTGTGCTCTTCATTATTAACTGAGAACATAATAATTACAACACTTCTTCTATCAACAAAAACAAAACAAAATGGGAGCATCCTATAGGCCAACAGATAGCAAAACAACATCAGCAAACACAACAAAAAATCCAAAATGTTAGTAAAATAAAAATAAATCAGAGAATAAAAAGAGCAGCTAAAACACTTACAGAAGGAAACACCGCCTTGGGAGCATCTTCACCGGCATAACCAGCTTTACACGTGTGTGAACCCAAGTCAATTACTATTGCTGATACTTCATCTGTGGATTCAACCAAAGGGAGAAAATTAAGTTAACATCTGATAAGAAGAAGAAGAAGAAGAAGAAGAAGAAGAAGAAAGAGAATTGGTTTGGATACGCACCACCGCCATACATGGCTGTGACTATGCTAAGAAGGCGACAAGAGAATTAGGGTTTTTGAATTTCAGGAGTTCGAATTTTCTCTCTCTAGGGTTTCAGGAGAGAGAGAGAAGCGGCGGCGACGAGGAGAGCCGCGGCGGGAATTGGCGGCGAGATTGTCGGAGGGGGAAAGTCGAAGTGAGGAGCGCGCGCGATTTGAAGAAAGAAAATTAGGGTATGGCAGGGGCTACGATACTTGGATAAACCCACAAATGTAAAATAAAAATCACAAAGGTTCCATCGTTACACCCACGTTAGAAGTCTAACACTTTTCTTTTAACATTTTCTTTATTATAAGTTGAATTTTACTCACACCTTAAATAACTTATCTTTAGTGCATCTTAATTAAGTATCTTAGAGCATATTTATCTCAGGATTTTATGAGTTGCTTAAGCAACCGTGTCTTATTTTTAAATAAAAATTAAATAGAATAAAAATGTAAAAATGTGGGTATTTTAAGCATTGTTTAAAATAATCGACCTCTATGATAACATATATCATGTCATATCTACTTTTTATCAAATTTAAAATCTTAAAATTAATGAAATAATTAACATATATTTATTATTTTAATTTTTATTTTATTTTTAATAAAGGTACGAAATATCTCAATTTTACTAATTTAATAATAATAATAATAATACAATTTAACTATAATAAAGTTATATATTATTATTATTATGGCATTTGTGTGATTTATTGAATATTTGATTTAAAACAATTTATGCGATGATAATATAATAAAATTTAATTATGTATTTAATAGTTTAATGTGTATTTTTTTTTGTACAATAAGAAAGTGAAAGAACAAGAAATAAAAATAACAAAAAGGAAAGAAAAAAAAACAACTAAAGAAAAGGGTAAATCAAGGGAGAAGCTATCCAGCATAGCATGTGGTGGAGTTCTCTAAGAGCACCACTTTCAGGAAGACTTTGCCTCGAGTTTGGCAAGGATATCAGTAACAGAATTGGAACCACGGGGAGTATGAGTCACCAAGCCAGTCCAACACTTCACCAAAAGGCTGCGGATTTGGAAGATCACCTGAGCATGAGGGTGAAAATTCATATCAGATTGCTTATTCACAACATTAACCACATTCAAGGCATCACTTTCACACACAATGTTTGTAAATCCACTATCCCAAGCAACCTGGAACTCATTCCTAACAGCAAGCAACTTCGCCAGTTGAGCATCACCATGCCCTTTGTTAGAAGAGAAATCCAAAATCCAAGTACCCCTATGATTTTGCAAGATACCACCTGTGCCCATTAGTTGACCTTAGCAACTCCCATCTACATTAAGTTTGATTAAAGGGTGGACGAGTGGAGACTATCGAGTAGGGGAATTATTGTATGATAAAGAATCACCCTTGCAATCAAATACCATATTCCTAATCCAATGAACCAATTGACATCTACTGTTGTGTGTAATGTAGGCTTAACAGTTCTATAACCATCAATGATTGGAGAACCTGCAGATCCATTTACAACTTCCCTGCAAGAACTTTGAATCATTCTCTTGAAACTCATCATCTTCATCATAAATGATCCGCTTTCCCCGAAATAACCTGCCCAATAAGAAAATCATAATGAATTGGACCTTTTGATACAATCAAATAGAAAGTCCTAAAATATATCATGTCATATCAATTTTAATTTAATAATAATAATACAACTTAATTATAATAAAGTTATATATTATTATTATGGTATTTGTGTGATTTATCAAATATTTTGTTTAAAACAATTTATGCAATGAAATATAATAAAATTTAATTATGCATTTAATAGTTTAATGTGTTTAAGTGTATTTTTATAGTTTTAAGTTTATTATTATTATTATTATTATTATTATTATAATAGTTAAAAATAGTTATTGTTATTTTTAATTTATAATAAAAAAGTTAATTTTAGATAATTTATAAATTAATAAGTTTAATATATTTATTGAGCTTATTTTTTTTCTTTGACACATTATTGACCTTATTACAATTAATGTAAATGATATTTGAAGTAATTATTTACTAATATTGTATTTGTCGTATTGACCAATGTTAATATATAATATTGTTTCTATTAAAAAATTATTATTTATCATTATTTTAAATTCTTAGCCATCATGGGTTATCCATATGGCTTTTTCTAATTGGATAGTTTGAATTTAGATGTTGGCCCTTGGAGGGAACCATTTGGTCGAGTAGTTCACCATTGTTAGGTTAAGGTTAAGTAGCTTGAGTTCAAGCTAACCTAACCTAGGTTAGCTTAACTTGCACCAAAAGCTTCTAAAACTCTATATATTTTATTCTCCTTGTATTGTTGCACACTTTTGCCTTATGAGATCAGATTATATTCACCAAATTCTCTTTACAGAAGTCCTAGTTCTCTAGAAGGAGAAATTTTTCCTTAAGTTCTTTCATCAAATATTCCTCCTTGGGGCAAGAACTCTCACTTGCTCATCTTCAAGCTTTGGAGTGGTGCATCCATCCTCTTCCTATTTCCATATTCTTTGTTCTAAATTAGAGTCTTGAATTCATGGAAAAGATTAGGAGCTTCAAAGGATCTTAGAGGAGGAGAAACAACAAGCATCTTCACCACTAGTCTCCATCACTCAACAATCACGCCACAACCACACAATATGTAATAACTCACTTCCTCGTTTGCCACTCCATAGCACTAGACTTATCCTCATCAAAATATTTATCACAATATACATCACCACATCTCAACATTTCATCCTAATCACAATATTCATCACAACATGCATCATCACATCTCAAATAGTTCATTACATCAATTTAACAACTTCAAAATAACTCCACATATGACAAGGTTTGGGACCTCTCTATTTCAATATCACTTGGCGTGGTCTAGGCCATGCCTGACGTCGAGGGGTCAAGGACCCCTTTGGAACCCTCTCGCTTGGCATGATCTAAGTCACACCCAATGTCCCCTTGTCTCATAAAATTGATGTCAAATGGAACCTAGTACCTCACACCCATCGTCAAGAGGTCTAGAACCTCTTTTAGAAGCCGTATGCCCGGCATGACCATCTCACGTTCGACGTGACCATCTTCATATCCGATGTAATCACAAAATCTTTACTTTGTAGATTCATAATTTGCATAGTTCGTTATGCCCAAATTCACAATTACACATCAAGTATTTTAATTTACGAATCCAATCAATCAAAAGGTAACTCAATACTCCAATATCCTTGCAACATCATCAATTCATAGAAATTCTTCAAATTAAACCCAAAATCACAAATCTCATATTCCTAACCCACCAACACTACATTTCATCATTAAACCAATTCAATCAGAATTTATATATGAAATTACAAAGAAAACACACTAATTTCAATCTCAAAACACGCATGTCATCTTTCATAGAAATAAATTCTATAACCTAAGAGACTTAAGAATCGTCTCTTTATCCTTACCTTACCTAGAGTGATGATCTTACAAATCAATACATTTCTTATAACTCTGGTTGTTAATCTGCACCTTTTTCGGTGATCTCCTCTAGATTTCCTCATGCAAGTGTTTTAGGTGTTTTAAAAGAAGAGCAATAATCTAACCCCTTCTCCATTTCTTCTTTTGAATCACCCTCATGGTTAAACCCAGAGTTCAATCCAAAACTCTCTAATTTTATCTCTACCTTTTTATTTTATAAAAAATATATCTCTCTCATATAATACTCTAATTATTCTAATAATTTATTATTTATTAAAAGAATGGGATGTTACAACCATAATAGAAAAATATTTAAAAAATGCATATTATTATGCATAAATTTTTAAAGAGGATTATAATTGATTTTGTAATCACAAAACTAATTCTTGACCCCAACTTATTTTTAATGTGTATTTTCTTCGAACCTTTGGGTATATTTTATAAAGTTAGTTTATAAGATGCTTATTAAGAGCTAACAATGACAATACTTTGTTTCTATTTATAGTATTGTCTAGTTGGTGCTAAATTTTAATAAAAAAACATTAAAAACTAAAAAAATGTTACTAAAAAATTTAGTAATATCAATTTTTACACATGACATAATATAGATAAATCTAATGACATAAAGATGCTAAACCACACACACACACATAGAGAGAGAAGTGGGATTCACTTATTCTAAAGATTAAGTCTACTTATATTCACTCTACTCAATAACTTATGTTCTATATTAGTTTTCAATAATTCAATTGAATTAAAAATTATTATTGCATAAATCAAATATGTAAATTTTTAAAAATTTTAAAAATTATTTTTTCATTTTATTAATTCAAATTAATGAATAATCATAGAAACATGTTATATATTGATTTGGTAGTTTATTCCACACACACATATATAATAAATAAATAAATTGACAACTTCACTAAGTATTATCTCTTTTTTTTTTAACTCAGTGGGACTTTATTTTCTTGTGATTGTATTATCTTCTAGTGATTATAATCTTTATCTCTTCTAATTATATATATTTTTTTATAACTAGCATATTTTGCAAATCATTTTACAACAATTATATTTTTTTTCATTTTTAGTTAAATAGATAAAATTGGTAACACGTGTGATTAAAATACCTCAAATTTTAATAGATGTGTTAAAAATATTAAAAATGTGACACTACTAGAAAATGACTTATCAACATCACCAATTCTACATCGATTTTAGTAAAAATGATATAAAAACAAAATGTGGTGGTATTTTTGTAATTATTTAAAAATGTAAAACATATTTACATATATTTTAAGGACAAACGATGTAAATATTAAGTGTTCTACATCAATTAACTAGAGGACCAATGTAATACTGAAAATACAATGGCAATTTTGTAAATAAGAGTAAAAATGTAAACATATTTACATTGGTTCATCACTTTATGACAAATGTAGTACTGAATAACTTTGGCTTACCCACGTGTGCCATCTCCAAAGAAAGCCCCCGTCCTTTTCGAAGAAAGCCCTGTCCTAAAGAAAGTTTCCCATCGTTCTCCAAAGAAAGTCCAAGTATGTACTTCTGATTCTACGAGAACCTTAATCGTAAGCACCCAAACTCTTCTCAGACCGTGAAAAGCATCATCATCGAAAACCTTAACTCTTTTGATTTTGCGAGTATGTTGTTTTTTTCCGCTTTCAAACTTTTGATTCTACGAGAGCATCCGAAACATTGTTTTTACTTTTGGATTTTGGATTCTTACTCTATGTTTTGAACTTATGAAAAACTTGTGCACTAATGACGATCGAACGAATTAGAGTCCAAGCATGAAGAGTTTGACACCTCAAATTTGTTTGATTTTGCTTCTTGAATATCTGATTTATCGAGGTATCGATTAAGGTTCGTTTCGCTTCACTATCATCGCAACATTCTAGTGAAGCCAAGGAATTGACTTTTGGTTAGGGTTTAATTGGGTAAAAATCTATGAGTTTTTTTTATTCTATACCCATGCTATCTAATTTAGTAAATATCAATCAATGGGCCACTAATTCCTACTTTTTTTATGAAACTTTCACTATGTTGAGAGAAAGAGGTATTGATCCAAATACTCGAAAATCATTACACTACAAGGGTTTTTTCTTCCATCAAATTGTAAAAGGTTCCATTGTGAGCGTATGTTGTTCTATTTCTACTTATATTTAGATTGGTATATGATAGTTCAAATTGTGTGTATGTGTTGTTGTGGTTGAACATAGCTTAATTCAAACTTTATTTATACTTGTCGTTAAGATGGTTGAATCTTCAACAATCTTAATGACATGAGTCAAATAAGAAAAACAAGCATAAGCATGGTACACGCAAGACTCAACATGTTTAATATTTATTTGATCAAGGCATTTACTCAATTTTAAAGACCATAAAGTGATTGTGAGTATGAAGTGTTTGATTGTTTGACTACAACACCCTCTACCCCACATACATAATACACAATAAATATAAAGTACATTCCTGAATAAATAAAACTTTCTTAAAAATAAGGTTTCAAAACACATAGATAGAGAGTTCACATTCATATTTCGCAAATCGTAGTCCAATACGGAAATGATGACAAAATAAAAGATCAATCTTTCCAAAACACAATAATAGTAATGAAACTCCAATGCTAAACCTAGCTAAGCCCCGATGTCACATATCCTATCAGAGCATGCTCATCTGAAGCCTAAGCCTCATCATCAACATCTTTATGTTGATGATCACCTGCAACACAATTTAAACATATACAAAGAACAACAAGGGAGTGAGAAATATCTCACTCGGCTCCAGGTGCAGA